CCCGCCCCGCGCCTCCTCCCGCCGGCCGCGCGACGAGGTTAACGGCGGAAACCGGACAGGCCGCTCGGCATCGGGGTCGGGCCGCGCCGCGCCGCGAGGAGGCACGGCGCTGCGGCTCCGCGTGCGCAAAGCCCAGGGCCGGGGCCTGAACCGGGGAAGGCAGCCCCAAGCCGCCGACGCTGCCTTACTCGCCACTCTTACGGGTCCGGCCCACTGAGCATGCCCAGCACCGCGGCCCGGCCCGCGAGGACTCGCAACGTGCGCGCTCCGCTCTCCGGGCTTTAGCGCCAGCAGAGGCTGGGGGCAGGGCGCGGGCAGCAGGACGCAGCCGCGAGGCAGCCCCTTCCCCCAGCCGCTTCCTCGGCGGAGCACGCAGCCGCGGCTTCGCCGCCCGGAGTCCGGCCCTCTCCCGTCGCTAGCGCGTCCTCAGTGGGCTGCACCTCAAGGTTCACCTCGGCGTGTGCGGCCGCACCGCCGGGAAGTTGGTTAGGAAAAGCGGGCACCTAAAGTGTGTCCTCAGTCCTGCAGGCGAAGTTCTTGCTGCACAGCGTCACCCTTAGCCACTGTACGTTTATCAGCTTTCATGTTGCATTCGTGTCGGTGCATGTCTTCCTAACTGAAGTGTAATAGAGCTGGCCTCCGTGATTCCCAACTGTAAAATGGGATGGCGCTCAAACACTGCGACTAGGGTTGTGAGAGTTAATGTAAAAGACCTGCAAGACCAGCATAGAAAACTGTGCCAGTGCCACTCTTCCCTTACAAATCCCAGTTCTCCCCTCCCTGCAAGTGTCAGTGACAAAGAATTTCTTTAGCTGGGCGTGGTGCTAAGGCCTGGAGTCCCAGCTACCCTGGAGACAGAGGCAGCAGACCAGCCTGGGCAATTTAGTGAAACCCTGTCTCAAGTTTTAATAAATAAATAGATAGATGGAGGTCAGGGTTATAACTCAGTGGCACAAGAGCCTACCTGGTACGCCCATGGTCCTGAGTTCGAATCCCAATACCAAACAACCTGGGGAAATTTTTAAAATCTCTTAATCTGTACCCCAGATTCTTACCTAAAAGGATAGAGTAAATAATTGTGGTACAATCGCAGCAAAGATCACCTTGGACCTCCAAGAGTGTCACTGTTGTGCATCATTCCAAAACTGAGACAGAGTTACATTTCTTCAAAAATAAAAGGGCCGGCAAAATAGCTCAGTGGACTAAGCGCCTGCTTTGGCGCAGGGACCAGTGTTCATCCTTGGTCTCGCATGCTGCCTAGGCACCACCTCTGGGGCGCGCGCTGATCTGCGACCTAGTCTGGGCGTCGTGGCACACAGCTGTAATCCCAGCACTTGGGGAGGCTGTACCAAATACATATAGAGACATACACATATGCGACCCTTTACCAAATACATAAAAATAAATAAATAAATGACCTAGGGTTAAAAACCATACTTTGGTTTGTTTGTTTTGTACAAGGGATCAAACTGAGGACCTTGCAGTTTCCAGGCTGGCACCTAAGCCACTGAACTATCTCCCCAGCCCAAAACATAAAATTTTATACTCTAATTTCACACTAAGCTGCCCTGGTAGAATCTAAAGTAGATGACTGGATGCCTAATATTCAAAGTCTAGGTTTCCCTAGTGCCATAATAATATGCTGTACTTTTCTGAGGCTTTTTAAAGGTATTATTCCATTCCTTTGCCCATCTTTTTCAATTTTAGAGCCCAGATTTTCCAACAGCCTAGTCTGGGTCCTTAGTGATATGAGACTTACTTTTTCTACAATTGTTAGGCTAAAATCTCCCCTAAATGTATTTCATACCTCAAAGTTTACCCTCTTCACTACTGACCTGACAAAATGATATGTAGAGGGAAAAAAAAATGAACATAGCCAATGCCACTTTAAGGACAACAGAAAAAAAAAAAAGTTGCAGCTCTAATTCCATGGCACTCTTTCGAAAACTCAGTGCTAATGAAAAAGTCAACTATTCATTGTGAAATTCAAGCACTAATATGGTGACAACTCTTATGGATAATTATTGGTGATACTGTTTCTAGTGGGGAGAGATACACAATGAACAAAGAAAACTTCACTTTTTGGGCCCTTCCAGTTATAAAATCAGATTTGTCTTGGCTGTGTGACCATGAGCATACAGTAACTTTACCATTTCAAGCCTCAGTTTTCTCATCTGTCAAATCCAAACAGAAAGAATTTTTTTTTCCTCCGAATGCCTTCAGGGCAGGTTTGGCTGGCTTGAGTTGTAGGGATCCAACCACAGCTACTCGAGCCTGACTGCTTTGTTGGAGCAGCCACTTAAAGGACTGAGCTAAGGGGCAGGCCCCCAAGTCAAATCCAAACAGCAGTAGTATATATCTCGCATACTTTGCTGTGAAAGTTATTAAAGTATATGAAAAGTTTATAAGATGTTCTTTATATACTCTACGTATATAAAGAATTGGATAGAATGCAACTAGCCATCCCAAACTAGTAATCTTATTCAAAAATGTTTTTCCTCCCTAATAAAATGCTCAGCCAAACTCTTCTTCAAAGGGTTTGTGGAATGACTTCGGCAAAGACCACACTGCTAAATGAAATGAAAGGTGAGAGGATCTTCTATTATGTACGAAATGCTCCTAACATATTCTACCCATTACTTCCTGTCTTATTCAAGTATAGATTCTTTTTTTTAAAAATTAATTTATTTGTGTGTGTGTGTGTGTGGCCAGCTCAGCCCACCAGGGGGCGGGGCTGGCTGACATGTGGTGCTGGGGGATTGAACCGTGGTCCCTGTGCTTTGCTAAGCTTATTCTAAGTAGGTGCTTTAGACCACTGAGCCATCTCACCAGCCCTCAAGTATAGATTCTGAAAGAAATAAATTGAAACTACTCACGTACCTCTTCCAAATTAAGAAAGATTCATAGATGCAAACTACTTTGTATTCTAGGAGAAGCTTATTTGGCAGTGCTATACAAATTTTCATGTTATTATCAATAATTAAATCCAGCAGCAAGTTTGGTTTGACATTTTATAAACATTATAGTAGAGGGCAAGGATAAAATTTCATTAATAGTCCTTATGAGATTCTTCAAGAAATAATGAACTACTAGGCCAGAACCCAACATGAACATTAATGCACATGTCTTCTAAAATAGTAAGTCCAGCCTTTACCACAGCAGCCTGTACTAGCAAAAACTGAAAAATTAACCACAGCATCCATCAATATGAGACTCATGCAATTAGGAGGCTATACATAGGCACCAGTTAAAAGGAGGTGATACAGGCCTAGGAAGATAACTCAGTGGCATAAGCACCTGCCTGGCAAGCACAAAGTCCTGAAAGAAAAAAAAAAACTTTAAAAAAGTGAAACAAGCAAAATGTGGAATGATGTGTAAAGTATACTACCATCTGTGTAAAAAGTGAATATTCACATGCTCCTGTACTTGTACATGTATACTTCTAGAAGAAAGCAATGAACTAGGAACAGTAATTCGGTGCCAGACATTTACATGTATGCCTTTTGAAGTATAAGCCATATAGTTACATTACCTGTACCAAACATATTTAGGGGGGCCAGGGAGATGGCTCAGTAGAATAAGCGCTTGCCTGGCAAGCGAAAGGGCCTGAGTTCAGTCCCAGGTTCCGCAAAAAAAAAAAAAAAAAAAAAAACCTCAATCTACTTACATATTTAGGCTTCATTTTTGAATCTACAGGAAAGCCCTATGGGTGAGAAAAGCATTCAACAATGTTTTGTGCTAACCAAGATTTAAGAGTTCAGCATGGGGGCTGGTGAGATGGCTCAGCGGTCTAAAGCACCTACTTAAAACAAGCTAAACTAAGCAAAACACAGGGACCATGGTTCAATCCGCCAGCACCACATGCCAGCCAGCCCCGCCCCCTGGTGGGCTGAGCTGGCCACACACACACAAAATAAATAAATAAATAAATAAAT